ACCGATCTCCAAATTGAAGAATATTCCATTTCTAACAATTTTCGTAAATAAAAAAAAATCTGGTGCGCGCATCGCACGACTTTCACTTACCACTCTTCTTAGCAGAAATAAGTAGTTTCAGACTAAGGAGAAGTGAAAGTAAAAATTATAGACTCTATATTAATTATTTTTTTATTTGTTTAAGTGCCGATATATATACAAATTTTAATTTTTATATTGGTGTAGCCTATACAATTAAATATTAAATAATGCCAACGATAGCATTTATGAAAACCGGAAATATAAATGTACATAATACTGTTGGAGTCCGTGTTATATTAAGCTCGTGTTAGGTATGGAAGCCTGTTCTAATCTTTCGGGCGAGCTCGGGCGCGATCGTATCCCTTCGGTTCCTCCCGTCACAACTATTCTCTGTAACGATCTCTTATTTCTCCTTCAACAGAACATCAATGATAGTGAAACCTGCATGTTATTAAAATTTTCTTAATAATACACTGATATATTGAGTTTAATAAAAATTGTGAGAATCGTTTTTGAGAAAAATGTGTTTGCCGATAATGTTGCTGTAACATCTCAGGTTTTTGAAAACCTCAAATACGCAATTTCTGTTTCTTACGACTCATAGTTTTTGAGCTATGCTCTTCACATATACACACACACACAAACTGTTTTGTGGAACTTGGTTATTTTTACTCAAAAAATGTATTTCTATTGAAATCTCAGATTCGAAAATTTTCAAGATCTCAATATTTAACCTTACTAAATATTATATGTATGTAAGTGAAAGTAAAAATGTAGATTACGAAAAGATGAGCCATAATTGATGTTTTAGACGGATTTTCATAATTTGATAAAAAAGAAGCCAGTTCCGCGAACTCTCATTGGCTATGCGAGCGCGATTTTGCATCCGATCGACTGGGTGAGTCATTGTTCTTGTGACTCAAGTTCTGGGGAGATGTGACATCGAGACGCCCACCCAAGGACAGAGTTTCGGAACGAATTCTTTGAAAAGGCTCCGGAAGACAAAAGAATAATATCAGTTAAAAAAAAAGAAACACAATACACAACAATGGTTTAAAAAGCAAACTTGGAGTGTTACTTTTGAAATAATCTACAATGGAAGTCGTTAATGATCGACGGAAGTATTGCCGAAATATTACTCTCAGTTTAGATTTTTATTTTGACTTCGTTAAATCTAAATTCTGCACGGGTCATAAAACCAAGGACTCCAGGGATAATTAATAAAATAATATTATTTAAAGATATCTACCATAGTTTCTATATAATATATTTATTGTTATCTAGTGTCTTTTGTTTTATAAACTTTTGTTACGGTTGTTACTTTATAAACGGACATTTATAAAATAGAAGAATGACAACATTGATTAAAATGTAACTGATACTTTTCTATAACAGTTACTAAAAGTAACTAGCGGGGCTAATCTACAAAAGACGGCTTATCTATACTTTATATTCATGTAAATTTCCAGCTTAAAAAAAAAAAAAATTGAACCATGCCAGTCCCCTTTCGAGTTATATCTACATAATAATATATAAAATCAATCAAAGCAAATTAACAATACAACAAACAATAAGAAAGCAATTATTTTATTTATAAACTAAACATTGTAATTCTATCTATTCACTATATAAATATTCAGATGGGAAATCTTTTCATATATGCTTCTATTAATCCTGATCTGTATGTAATGATCCAAAGATAGTTTTGTGATTATTTAGCAATTTTTAATTTGTAAAATTATTTAATAAATCCTTCATTAACAAAATACTAAAGATATAGTTAGCTAAGTAAAGATGAGTTACCTTCCGGGCAGAATCTCTAGCGAATATTCCTCTTCCACTAAAAGCTCTTGGAAGTTCAAACCTGGCCACTTGCTACCTTCTCTATTATCAGTTGTTATCACTAACAATATATTATAGATTAAAAAATAGTTAAAGTTTTAAAAAGATACAATAAAAATACATTCAAAACATATATCATAAATTTTTATATATAGTATCAACATTTTATAAACAGATTGCTGTACATGAATACTTCATAGTCAATTGGCTAATGTTGTGAAGCTTATTTTCTATGCAAATACGAAAGTTCTATAATAATAAAAATTCAAGGCCCCATTGTTCTCGGAATTGTACTTACTGAGGTGATCTCCATTTGCAATTTAAAAACATGACATCGAGTAGGTGTGTATGAGCCTTCTCAATTTTTCAGTCAGGTAATGATTCTCAACTCACAGCTCAACGTCTTAGTTTAGGGACAACTTGTTATGGATATATATTTATATTTGGCACAATATCATTATTTCGTGAAATAATGGTGTAATGTAATAAATAATGTATGAGTTTTATAATGTAGCCATGATGTTTATTTTTTTGCATTTCTGACCGTTTCTAGATATGGCTATAGTTTGTTTCTTTTCATAAGCCCTGGGGCGAAATCATGCTGCTGAAAGTTGAAACCCACATTTTCTTTTTTCCCTATCTCTCCAATATTACGTAAAAATATTTACAAACATTTACTCTAGTTGAACATCGTAAAGTTCTAATTTTAGTGTACTATATGGTAACGCGTTGTATGTTTGCTTAATGGATGTAAAACGTTTCTTCTTTAACGTGATGAAACTTGCCTAAAGTTTTTCTTGAAGCCCTTTAAATTATTTAGTTAATCTGCCACTCCCTCCCAATAAATAAATATAACATTCTGATGAAATTTAATGAGTAAATATTTATGGTTTATAGGTTGTAATCGGAACTATTTCAGAGAAGACATAGGAAAATATTTTCGTAATTTGATTTTCTATCACAGACGTCACAGTGTTGGATCAAATTTTCACTATCCTGAATTCAACATATCAATGGCTTCATATTAAAGATTGACATCTATCATTTTTAAAAAGATGAGGAAAACCAAATTTTTGTAACAAAGCTTCATTTTAAACAAATTTTAGTGATTTTTTTCATGATTCAACTTGAACATTCATAAATAAAAACAATTTGAGTTATTATTATAAAACTGAAATTGACTTTTCTCCTCCTCTGAAAATGGCAGATAGAAGGTCACTGATATCATAGCGTTTCAGAGCCTACTGACCCTAAATAAATTTATGTTGATTGTCGTAATCATCAATTGACCGGGTAGCCCGATTTTGTTTTTCTAATATTTATTTCATTAACTTTAACACTTCCCCCTCTACATTTGTACCGAATCGAACACCCTTTGCTTAATGGATGTAAAATGTTTCTTCTTTAACGTGATGAAACTTGCCTAAAGTTTTTCTTGAAGCCCTTTAAATTATTTAGTTAATCTCCCACCCCCTCCCAATAAATAAATATTACATTATGATGAAATTTAATGAGTAAATATTTATGGTTTATAGGTTATAATCGGAACTATTTCAGAGAAGACATAGAAAAATATTTTCGTATTTGATTTTCTATCCAAAGAGGTAAGAGAAAGATTACTGTTGTGGATGTAGTAGATATTTTTAAATTATGATTATGTATAAATATATTATTCGAGCTACATATTGTGATAAGGTATATGATGCGATAGGTGAGATCTCTAAAGCACCGACAATGCAGCGGTAACTAACTTGTTTACAACTGCCTTGATAAACCGGGGCCGCCATTAGATAAGATAACCTCTAAGAGTGGAGTTATATTGGCCCAATTCCGAGGAGTGGCTAATGTAAACTTGTTAATATCTAGTCAGCATTTGTTCATGCACATTTATTAACGTTTTGGAAAATAGAAAGTAAAAAAACAGTTCGGAATCGCTACTCCAAGATGGCGGCTGGTTTTAGGATCACTTGAACCCACGCTATAAATAAAATCAGCAACAATGTCAACAGATCTGTCAACCTTTTTTTTTAATGCACAGAATTTATTTGTTTTTTATGCTGCCATAAAAAAAATCTATTATAGATAATATATAAAAATGCTTATGCGAAATTGATTTGAAATATAAATTTAATTTTGATAGTAAAAACAGTCAGGTTGTGCAGTCAAAACATTATGTTTATTATTAAACATAACAACAAAAATTACGCGTTGACTGCACACACTGAGCATTGTTATCTTACAATTTCAACAGTTCGAACTATACACCACGGGTGGATCTACGGGGGGGGGGGGAGAGGAGGCTTTGGGGCTGAAACCCTTCCCCAAAATGGTGAAATATAATCATGTTTTATGGAAAAAAATATTAAATGATTATCTCTTAAAGTATTATTGTTCGTGCAATTACATTTAAAAGGACTTCTTTTTCCAAATTAATTATCGTTATTTTTATGGAAAAAAAAAGCTTTCGGGCTGAAGCCCTCCCTAAATTAAATCCTGGATCCCCTAGTGCTATACACCCATCTCAAAATTTAATTTTGCTTGGAGCAGTGATTCAATTTAATCATTATTATATAATTCATTGCGTCGTAATTATATATTGTGCTTACTAAAAAGAAGAATACAGGATACATAAATTATCTTGTTTACTCAGTATGTGTAGAAGCCCTGATAAAACTTACAAAATAAAACTTTTTTTAAAAAATTCTTATTTCTGTTTCACACATAACTTCCCAATAAACCATCTTTATTTATTATTACTTTCTTTAAAAGAAATAAGCTGATTTGATAAGGATTGATTTTATTTGAAAGGGTTTGATTTTATAAATTAGTTCATAGTGTTATTTATAAAAAGTGTGAACATTATGGAGACTTAGGCTGACTTAACCTAAACAAACGTAAACACTACTTTACTAAGGGTCAAAGGTTAATCGTCTAGTTTCGGATACACTCGGGTTATTTCGGAATTCCATCTGGAGTATGATCTAAGTGATCTTGAAACCATCTTCCATCTTGTAGTATTGATTCGAAGCTAGTAACTGAAAAACAATAGTTTTATTTTTAAAATACAAATTAGTTATCTTTACTTGTTATTTATTGCTAATATTTGTTTATTAATTCTGTTTGTTTATGTTTTGCAGTCGGGGGAATGAGCCGGAACCCGAAGCCAGCTCAGGCGAAGAAGGTGGCGCCCCCCGCGGTGCCGGAGCCAGCCTTCAGGAACTCTGGCTCCTCCTTCGGCAGCGCCGGCTACTCCTCCGCGGGGGAGGACATCTTCAAGGGTAAGCAACCTCCTTCGTCTCTTTAACCAATAGCTCAACTCGAGGAAAAGAAAGAAAGGACCTGAAGGAACTAACATCATGTTTGGTTTAGCGATAGGATAAAAGGGGGTTCAAAACATTTTTTATCAGATTTGTAATTCGTACCTCGATAAACCCTCAATATATGAATTATCACCCAAATCGAAAAATAAAATTTTCATCAAGGCAGAAGGCTTCGATTTTATTTCGAAAATCACAAAATGTGCTAACATGGCTCCTCCTATACACAAGATAATAAGGAGGGATTTAAATTCACGCAAACTGCACGAAATGCAACAAAACCTGATCCCCATGAATATATTATAACAGGAAAAAAAAAAATAAAAACGCATGACTTTTTCTTTATTTATTGCTTATGAAGGCATTACCATCGTCCACTGGCAAAACTGTGCCCTCCTATCCTTAATTGTAACAGGGATCACCATGGCAGCGAGTGAGCGCATTGCATTACCCAGTTATACGAGTTGTTTTTTATATCTAACAAGTAACCACGGGCTGATCTACGGGGGGGGGGCTTTTGGGCTGAAGCCCCCCCCCCAAAAAAAATGGTAAAATATAACCATGTTTTATCGAAAAAAATATTTAAAAAGTATCTCTTAAAGTATCATTGTTCGTGCAATTACAGTTAATAGGGCTTTAGGAATCACTTAAACACCATTTCATACAGGTAGTTAGTTTCTTTCTTTTTTTCCAAAGTAATTAACGTTATTTTTATGAAAAAAACAACTTTCGGGCTGAAGCCCCCCCCCCAAAATTAAATCCTGGATCCGCTAGTGCAAGTAACTAAATGGATACATTTTTAATTTATTATTAAATAATTATTTATTTTATTTAGAAATATAAGAAATATGTTTTTGTATGTTAAAATTATTTTTTATATTTATAATTAACAATATCAAACAATTAAAAATCTAACCAAGTATTAAACCTTTATCTTCTTAAGAGCACATTTATATGTTAATATTCAATTGGCGGGCACCAATTCGTTTGTGTTGACAAATTGTTGGCCGCCAATTGATTATTAACCTATAAGTGTGCCTTCAAGAAGATAAAGGTTTAGTACTCCTGGACAAGAGACTTGGTTGTCTTTTAAGATTGATAGAATGTTCATCTACGTCGTGCATGAATGATTCATTCAGAGTACCTTTATCACAGAGAGGAAACAGAATCGATTTAAATCTTCCATTGTGATAACTATGGTAATTGTCTGATCTTCCGCATAGTATTCTCTAATAATAACAGAGACGGCACAATCAATTTTTTGTAAACACCTTGGTAATTCGATAGTAACAACCATTTGATTAATCTCTTGTTTTGACTATCATAAAAAAAAAAATTAAAATAGTGGCGGTAACGTTTATCTTGACATATCTAGGTTTACGTCAGCATATTTAATTCAGAGTATACGATCAGAAAACAACCAGTTTTTTCTTTTGAGATGCATGTTATATATTTTTATGTTTGTTTTTCTTATTTAAATGTCAAATCAAACTGCCTTTAACATGAGCAATAAATATAGAAAACTATCTAAAAAAATATATATGATTGATGGATGTACCTATTTCGAATATTAATCATTGATGACCCTCTGTCGTTGATCGGAACGTGTTCAGATTAAATATATAACACTAAGATGAGAATAAGCTGGACGAAGAGGAGGTAAGTTATGAGGCTAGATATGAAGCCGGGCGGAATCCGGATAGCATCTCTATTACACGGGTCAGCTATTCAAAATATTCTCGTTAGGATTCCTGTTTGGAGCGGAGGTGATCATGTCTCTTTGGAATCACTATCGATATTTACATATATCTGCTTCGATCTATGCCACAAATCTTGTGATATGTTGCTAAGCTATATCATAATAACCACATTATGTCATTTATTTTGTACATCAATGCATTAATTATCATCATTAATGCCCTGTGCTATATCAGAACTATATGCCCTGTCCTATATCAGAACTACATGCCCTGTCCTATATCAGAGCTATATGGCCCCAGGTGCTATATGAGAACTATATGCCCTATGCTATATGGCGCCCGGTACTATTTGGGAACTATATGACCTGTGCTATGTGTCCCCGGTGCCACGTTCGTTATGAGAACTTATATGAAATTGCCCATTTGAATACATAACATGAATAGTTATAATAATGAAGTACCATTTATTTTTTTTAAACAAATATATACGAAACTCTGACGAAATTGAGTCCAAAAGCGACCAAAATTTTCTAGTCAAAAGAGAGTACGGTACGATTGAGTTCCAGGAACCTCACCAATACTCAGCGTATCAATATACTCCAATCTGTTGGAGTGGAAACGATATAATGTAAATCTGTTATTTGTTTATAGTTTTATGTTAGTAATTGAACAAGAAGAGTTCTAAATATGCATGAATATCGTCAGTAGCCACCACCCGCCATTTTGTTTCAAAACAATCTAGTAATGTATATTTCCTATTGTTGCAACAGTATTATCTTATTCCATCCCTGTCCCCGTTTCTTCTAGTTGAACATGTTCTAACTTGCTTATATTCTTTTTGCAGATGGGTTCGAGATGTCGGAAGGAGTGTACTCGGTGGGGCCGAGCAAGAGCCCGGCAGGTAGCTTCAACTACCCCGCCTTCACGTTTCCAGGACCCCAGGTATGTATTTATATCCTCCAGCCAACGTCTATATATCTATACATAGCCGGCCCTCGATGGCCCTTCTCTCGCTTTGGGCCGCCGCATGCTTCCTCTTTTATAAATACATATCTCTTTCTGAATCATCGTTCTGTCTGCATTTATTTTCGTTCTCTTTTCTTATGACATCTGTGTGCTGGCGGCCTTTTAGTGGTATAGTGGCCTAACTTATAGTGGTTGGCCGAACTGAATACATCATTACGCGGCTTAGGGAGGGAGGAGAAAATACGTACCCTCGTCTTACTTTATGAATGAAAGAAGATTAATTTAAGGACTAGCTCAATATTGAAATGTTTACATTTGCATTTTAATGCAATTTTTCACTGTTCGTCGATTTTCAGTGCCGGGTTAAGTGGTAAAGCTACTCAACGCCTGTGAAGAGTCCCCAATAATGAGGCATTAAAAAAAAAATCTGTGAGTGCTTCAGACTACACGATAGAAGTGAAAACAACAAGGCGAGATTAATGATGTGGAATATAAATTATAAATAATAGCTGTTCAGTTGGTTTTCGATACTGTATTCTCTCTCCTATTCTCTAACACGGCGTCGCGTCAAGAAAGAATTTTCATTATAAAGAGGATGAAACGCTTAACATTTTCCTCGCTTACAGTATGCAGGTTCGATTTTTTGTATCAGAAATATTTTAATCCATATGTTCATCTAAATTGATTATCATTTGGTTTTCGACACTAGTTTTCCCCTTTCTTCCCTCTAATACTGCGTCGCTTTGAGATACAATTTTGAATAATAGCTCATTACAAAGAGGATGAAATGATGAACTTTTTTCTCGTTCACAATTTGCTGGTCCGGTTTTTAGTTTTTGAGATATTTTAATCGATTCGCAGAAACACTTCAATAAGTCGACTCCTGCCGGCTTTACCTTACCGTTGCCTATCGGACGGCTCAATCTAATTCACTCTGCACAAAAAAAAAGTGCTAAGAAGTTTTCACTTCAAAAATAATAAATAAATACAATCCTCCATTAAATAACATTCCAAATAAATACAATCCTCTATTAAATAACATTCCAAATAAATACAATCCTCTATTAAATAACATTCCAGATTGCACTAAAACATTACATATCATCCAATCGAGTATTTATGTTTCAATTTGTAAAATTTTCTTTTTATTGATTTCTATTATTATATTTCTAAAGATGACGTTTTTAAAACTAAATTGTTTTCCTGATAAATTTCATATTTTAATATTTTCCTGCTAAGTTTCACGCTGATAACTTTGGGGGTCCAATCGATTCAAAATTACATTATTATCTGCAAGTATGTCATAAGGCTAAATTTCATATGATTGGATCGCTTGTTGATTTGTTTAGCTCGAAACTTAAAAATTAAGTTTAAAATTACGGTTTGGGGGGAAAAACGCATTATCCGACAATTTTGGTAAGGAATGTGGGATATATTGGTAATCAGCGTAAAATGTCCTATCTGCCGCACATTTCGGCCATGGGTCTGAAGTAGAACATATTTTGATATCATATCGATTGAAAGAACAACCACTGTATCCTCTCTTTTTTTTATAAACTCCAATTTTTCATCTTAAATTAATTCCTTGGAATTATATTGTATCTTATAATGTAAAGTAAAACTCTTTTCGACGCAATTTCAAACTTGAGAATTAAGGCAAAAACTTAGGCTAATCTTAAAATTACTAGAAATTTACAATTATAGGATTTATCCATTTTCATCGTTTCTAAGAATTTGTAGCTTTACGAAAACTTCTGGAGCTCATACTAAACTGCAGACCACTTTTTTTAAACAAAAAATTACTATTCTGTGACGAAGTCTCATAACAATAATAGAGTTGCACAGAAAAAAATATTACTTCTGACTAGATCTGTAACATTATATAGATAAAAGAAAGAAACTTTAAGTAGACTAACAATATGTAATATAAGCTACTAAACAATATATATTCAAACCTAAAATGGTTGTACATTTAGCCTTGGTATTGCCTAGGGTCACTACCTCATACCGTCGGTTTATTTAAAAAAGAAATGAAGTGACATTTGATTACATGAATTACTTCATAATTAATTATCAACTTTAATAATATTTCCTTTATGGCAACAGAAAATTTTGCACTGTTTGTTCCTATATTTGAAAGATAAAAGAAAGAGTTTATTTCATTTTCATGCCGTTAGAGTGTTTTTGTGTCGATAAATAAAGTCGTAATTCTTAAAAATATTTTTGAAAGTTAACGTATTTCAAAAATGCCCTTAGGACTTTTTGAAATAAAGCGACGATATCATGTAAATTCGTTTTTCGCTGCAAAAATAAATTTCGTCCATGTTTTTTTTCCAATCCATACCTAATTCTGTTCATGAAATGTATTTAGATTTTGAAATCCTCTTTACCTTCAACCGAATCGATGATATTATTTAAAATAGGATTTTAAAATTTCGTAAAATTGTTACTATGTTAAAGAATGGTGAAGTATTTTTTAACAAGATAGACGAAAGCTCTTAGATACCGCTGTATCTTGCTAGACCAGACAATATGGAAGCTTGCGACCCGAGGATACTTAGTGTTGTGTTGTCGCCCATCGCCGACTTATCTAAATTGGCAAAGAGGTTTCGTTTTGTTTCGTTCGCCGAAGGCTTAGCACACATTGTTTATCTCGCTGCCTCTGCTGGAGAAGGAGATAAACAATGCCTGAACTACTGACTGCCACAGCTGCTCTCTCCGGCAAATATTGTTCTGTATTTTATGACAACTCTGGTATTCTGGTATGGAACGAATATATAAAAGCAAGTTCCTTTTATTTTACATTACAATTAGTCAATTTTTTCAAAAATAAAAATGTCAAGTTGAAAATCAAAGATCGTTTATAATCAAATGGTCAACAATAACGGAAAACGTACTCATAAATTGCATAGTTATAGTAAAAAAAAAACTTTTTTTAAATATTACTTCCTTTTTCTATCCGGAGATAGTTTAAGAATGCTTCTATTGTAAAAATGATATAATTATAATAATAAAACTTAATTAAAAAATGCGTCGCCGAATATCTTGAATTTTTTATTCAACGTTTGCAATGTAACACTTTGTTTTGTATATTTACTGATTCTTAGTTAGTAAGTTAAATTGCATATACTTCTTTGGGCACGTTTTGCACTTTTTTGTGGAGAGTGAATTCGTTTTTTCATACGGATTAAAATATGTCAAAAACTGAAAATCGGACTTGTTGGCAAGAGAAATGTTCATCATTTCATCGTCTTTGTAATAAGCAATTATTCAAAATTGTATATTGAGGTGTATGACAAATCATACTAAAATAATGAGAATGTATTATCATCACATATTTGATCACCCATGATATGTAGAACAGTGGGCTAACTTCTTTCAATATCACACACTAGCGGATCCAGGATTTAATTTTGGGGGGGGGGCTTCAGCCCGAAACCTTTTTTTTTTTCATAAAAATAACGATAATTACTTTGGAAAAACAGAAAGAAACTAACTACCTATATGAAATGGTGTTTAAGTTATTCCTTAAGTACTTTTAAATGTAATTACACGAACAATAATAATTTAAGAGGTATTTGTTAATATTTTTTTCCATAAAACATGGTTATATTTTTCCATTTTGGGGGGGGGGGAGGCTTCAGCCCGAAAGCCCCTCCCCTCCCGTAGATCCGCCCGTGATATCACATATTTTAGTTATCATAAACCTATCGTTTCATTTTTACTGTCTTCAATATGATACTGACTTAGTATCATCAGTCCGGCCAAGTTTACCACACAGTAATTTGTACACAATTGTAATTTTATATATTGTAAATGTTATTACTTTATGGGTATAGAAAAAAAATGTACACAATTATAATTGTGTATATTGTAAATGTTATAACTTTTGCTATAGAACAAAAAAAAATTGATAATTCATATTGTTAAGTCTGATGTTTTCACTTCTACCATGTGGTCTTAAGCACACCAAAGTTCTTTTTGTACTGCAATCATTGCAATCCTCAACCAACTTTTCCTTATGAATCTATAGACAACCATTTTGGAAAATAAAAATTATTCAGAAACAGCTATTGTGAATTTTTTTGAAAAAAATTAATAAAGATTGGACACATTAAAGTCAGAACTTTATTGTCAAAATATATATATGTGTGTGTGTGTGTGTGTGTATTCACAATAAATTAGATTTAATTGATAATTGTTCAATCTTTATTAACCTGTGATGTGAGGCACTCCCTTTTCTGAAAAAAAAATATGTTTTTGCTTAAGATCCTGATGGTTTGTGGTAGTACAGCAATTGTTTTTTAAAACAGCTAATGATATATGTTAATTAGTTATTTATATTTTTAAAATACACCAGTATTTATTATTTATATTACTTTCTTTATTTAACTTGCCTTGTAGCAGTACACACAGCTGGGCTCGAAGTCAGCAGCGTATTATCACCACCAGCTGTCATTACAAGAAGATCAGGGCATTGATATGACCCAGGTGAGTTAACATCTCACTAAGGCTATTTCAACTATTATATAAAGTAATAAATAATAAATAATACCAAAACAATACATAGCCCTTTCCCAAATATTGTTCCATCTTGCTTCAGTAATAATGTTTCATAGACAATTTATTTATTAATTATTACCATATCATAACTATTCACATATTTTGTTTATATTCAGAATACAAGTTATTATTATTATGAGAATAACTAAAAAAATATGAATTGTTGCTTGATGATGAACTAAATCTTTGTTTAGTCAATAAAATTAATATTTTTTAATGTTATAGAGCCCTGGAAGAGATAGCCCTGGGTCTAGTGGCTCAGGCTCGAGGCATTCGACAGTGAGCTTGGACAGCGGAAGAGCCTCCTGCGCGATGTCTCACCACCATCGACCCAGCTTGTCCTCGAGTTCTGTCGGAAGCGGGGAATCCTCTGCTCCAGCTCGGGTGGAACGTCTTCTACTTCAGGGTGTGCCGGTGAGTATATGGTACCATCGTATATGGTATTTAATTATCAATGAATTAATGAAGGTTTATTGAAAGTTATTTAGATATTGCAATAAGTTCGTCAACAAACCAAGTATGCAATTGCTTCTTCATTACAGTTTATAATTTTATAGAAAACCATTAATACTGAATATTCTCGTACATTCAGACAATCATTATTACATTTATAGATATTGTTTTCTATTAATCCATAAACTATTGTTAAATATCAACTAGTTGGGACTTGGTGTTTCCATCTTCCTTTCAATATCGGATATGAAGTAGGCACACAGCCAATGTTAGCGGAGATAGTTTTATCTCATATGTTTGATGATCCTTTGACATTATATTATATAACTATTTTTTTCTTAAACAGTAATATTAAAAACTTTTATGATAAACAACCTTATTTAGGTTATTCATATTTTTTGTGAGATTTATTTTTTATAATTATTATATTTAATGTATAATTGATTATGTTTTTAGTGAGACTTATTTTTTCTCAAATCTTTTGTTTGTATTTAAAACAATATTATGGCCATTTTCAAATATATTTATTACACATTTACGCCATCTGTCTACATTTGTATAATTTCTACTCGTCAATTTCATCCAGACAAAATAAATCTTTTCTTTTTGTCAATCAAAAATTTATTTGACTTGAAAAATAAATTTGGTCAATATACTTTTCTTTCTATGAAATAAGAAAAAACTTATTTTACTTTGTACATTTTTAAAAAATTAATCTTTAAATAAATAACAATAATATTCAATTACTAACTTTATATAATATGTTTGTTCTTTTTTACATTTTAATTATATAAAAGAAAGTGAGAAAAAATAACATTCTTATTAAAAACTTTGTTAATTTCAGCTAATTCAAACCGTGCTGTATCTTCTTATTTCCTCTCTCTCTCACCTTTATTGGATTTGGTTAGGCACTTTTTTTCACCAACAGAATCCTATTTTTCTTCTGGGTCTTGTACAATAAACCAAAAGTTCCATGTTTACCATTGGGATATTTGAATTAAAAGTAGCAGTAATAAACATTTTTTTAGAGAATTTGTCAACAGTAATATGAACCTCGGCTTTAGTTCTGATAGTGTTGACCCTGTGTGGCAGCAATGCCAGGTATGACAGAAAAAAAAAAAAGTTCTGATAGTGTATCTTTGCAAATGGGTTTAGTAGTTAGCAAATTTAGTTTTTTATTTATTTTTTTTTCTATACAGCCGAATAATAAAACTTAGGATATTCTGACAGAGTATATTGCATCAGTAATAGGCACTCAAGTTTTGGGGTCAGTAGGTTTTTTATATTTCTAAAAATCCCAAAATAAATTTTGCCCAGTTTGAAACTAAGATTCGGAAAATTACAGATGAATGAATAAAATTTTCAAACTTATCTCTTAAAGAAAAACAATGAGGGAAACTCTCTGAAACAAACCCCAGAGAGCTTTGTTTAAAACAAACCCCAGCCTTGCTTTGTTAAAAAACTGGCAATCGTATATTGTGGCATTATATCACTTGAGGTTCGGGTGTCATTCTCCTAAGTGTTACAGCTGCAAATCTCATATTTGCACTTTAGTTTGGCCGTATAAATCTTTTTGTTAGTTAATTAGTTGAAAACTGTCCATTACTGGAACATAATCTTGTTATCTTATTAGTTGTACATACCTGAACCATTTAGAATTATTTGCTGAGCCATATCTTCTTAGTATAATAGAATTATAATAATAATTGTGTTTTTCTTCTGATTTTAATATTATAACAATACCAATAGCAGAAAACACAAAAAAACATTTCTATTAATTATGTTTCCTTTATTGTTTTATCAGGATCAGGATATCTTGCACAGTTGGTTGATGGATTTACACTTTGAAGAATATTTTCCACTCTTCATAAACGCAGGCTATGATATGCACACTATTTCCAGAATGACTCCTGAGGTATATTATTGTTATCATTCCCTCAACTATCTGATTGTAATATTTTTGCTTCATTCAGTTTTATTAAGTTGTTACTCAATACGTTTCAGGACTTGACTGCAATTGGTATAAAGAAACCTAATCACAGGAAAAAGTTGAAAGCAGAAATTGCCCTATTAAATATATCGGATGGTTTACCTGACTATATTCCCGTAAGTAATCTAATTGTTATTATTTCTGTAAATAATCAGTATAATTTTTCTTACTCCTGTGATTTTATTTATTTAATTTTCCTGTTCTTAATGGATAACTAACTAACCTAACTAAATAACTAATCTGTAATATTCAAAATATACAGGGTGTCTCAGTTCTTAATGGCCCAACTCTGGGAGGTGGAGGGGGGGGGAGGGAGCTGAGGTACTTATCCATTAGCGGGTAGCGTCAAAACCTCCCTTCTTATCTAATATCATTTCAGATAACCTCCCTTATCTCATCTAACCTAAGTTATTCTATTGTTTAGATTTTGTTTCTTGTGCGAGGTGTGAGTTTGTTTAATTATGGATCTTGTCACATTGTGGGAATTGCCGTCTTTAGAAGAAGAGGCTATCAAATATTTTGAAGACGCCGGTATATCTGATAAGGGGAAATATTGTGATGAGGGTCATAAAATGAAGTTCGACGGGAAGATTAAATGGAGATGCTTTCGTAGGTGTAACAAAACCGTTTCTACAAGGAAAGGAACGTGGTTAGAGGGGTCGAGGATTTCTTTTTTAACGGCTTTAAAATTCATTTATTGGTGTTCCCATAATTTAACTACAATAAAGTGGGGGAAAGAGCAGCTCAAACTATCCATCGGAACTGTCGTAGCATGGAACAAATTTTTATTATTTCATGTTGCAATGTTTTTTAATTATATATTTATAATGTTTTGGTCTATTTTAATATATACGTTGTAAAATAAAAGCATTTTGTTATTATTACATTTGTTTCTGTTTTTGTTCAAAATTTCAATAATATCAATACAATACAATAAATATGAATATGAACCTATAATAATATGAATATAATACAATAAATATGAATAGGAAGAGCTTATCAGTGTTAAGGTTATAAACATTGGCAGATAGCAGTCGGACGCTACCCACTATTAGATAAGTACCGGAGCTGATTCTAGACAAAATTTCCTACAAACAATTTCATTTGATGCATGGGCCGATTCTGGACGGAAAAGGAGTTGAGACCAATCTTGTGTTTTCCATAAGGTGGTCACGTTATTATTGAATAAGAAGGAATTGCTCAAAAACTGTTCAAGATAATTAAATTCTAAGTAAATTATCATTGTAAAGAATACGTTTTTTTTTTTTATAAAATAGTGATTAAATTTACTAAGGTCCAATGATAAAAGGAACTTTCAGGAGCTATAATACGACCGCTGCTGTACTATGGATATGCTGCTCCATACGCTTATATGGATAAGAGCAGCATATCTCTGTAATCCTGAATCGTATGCAGCATCGCAGTGGTATTAGACTTCCTGAAAGTTACTTTTATCATAGGCTCTAGTAAATTTAATCACTGCTTTCTCAATGAAAATTTTGTCTACTTTATGATTGTGTACTTAGAATTCAATTATCTTGAACAGGTTTTGAGCAATTCCTTCTTATTCAATAAAAAACGTGACTAGCTTTAAAAAAACTCAAAATTGGTTTCAACTCTTTTTCCATTCGGAATCGGCCCATGCATCAAATTAACTTTTTCGTTGAAAATTTAGTCTAGAATCATCCTCCAGAGTTTGGCCACTAAGACAACCTGTAAAAGCTGATATTAAACGCAATCAATTAAAATGATTCATAAATGATAATAATGAATCAGTCATTGTTTTATCTTATTTATTATTATTATTATCTTAATAAAAATTGTAAGAAAAAAATATTTCTTTTTAGATAGTTATTCATAATTTCTTATACATAGAGAGCCTTAATATAATATATGCAGTTCATCCTTTGCTTAGTTTCAATTATTTCCATATCACAGCTGTCATTATATTAATTTTAAAATTTCTTACAAAAAAAAAGCATATGATGTGGTCCTTCACTTGTTAAGATTATTATCTGAGTGCCAATAAAAGGTATTTGAAGAAAAAAATAAAGCCAAAATAACAAATATTGCCCATAATCTAAGAATCACCCAAATAGTACAATCAATTAACAACCTTCAACATTTCTTTAAAACGAATCTGTTATTTTAATTTCTTAATTATATGATTTTGCCATCAGGGTTCCTTAAGCGAGTGGCTTCGACTGCTGAGACTTGAAGAATATGGGACCGCTCTCAGATCCCAAGGCTATACAACAGTGGAAGATACCACCCAAATCACCTGGGAGGATCTAGAAGAAATTGGTATTGTGAAGCTGGGCCACCAGAAGAGGATCATGCTGGCCATCAAGAGGATCCAAGACCTGCGAGCGGGCAAGACATTCCCCCCGACTCCGTTCACTCCGACGCAGGTATTTGTTTCTTATGATATCTTTTAACGCTATAGTGAAGCTAAATATGTAAAAGCCTTAAGTAGAAGTGAGCATGTTGGCCACTTTGTGAAATTTATTATTATTATTCTGCCATAAATATATTCATTTAAAAATTGTAATCAAAGCCACTAGTAATCAGTTTGCGTGTGATAATAATATTCAATTGTTTAACCATTCGACTAATTGATTCTTGTAGCATGTTTTAGTTATAACTAATGATTTCTTCTTAATCCATCTGAGATCTTATCATTCTTCGCAGTGATACAGTTAATTTATTTATACAATAAGGATTTCAAACAGATCATTTTGCCTGAATCTTAAGTTTGTAATTTAATTAATTTTTTTTTCCTACGCCTGTTGACCTCGGCTTTTTAAGTCATGATTCTTCTTCAGCAGCTTGGGGCTGTTAAACATGACAAGTTTATTGATCCTTTTGTTCTCTCTTCTTCGAGATATCCAGGAAGCACATGGTTTACTAACCAGAAGCGATCGCATTTCACTCCCTCTTCATTAGGAACTTTCCTGCAGAATGGTGGGCAATCTTTTTGCTTCAATCTTCCACCCAGTTTTTTATGAGATAGAGAGTTATCAGTCCTATACCCAACCCCCAACCTGGAGGATCAGGACCTATGGTATAAGAAACAGGGGTCGCTCACCTCCTTAAGAATCTCAGGGTGGGGATGTTACCGTCTCCATGCGGGAATTGAACCCACACCATTGTGGTCTAATTAGTCAAGTAGGGGCCTGCGTCTAATTTTAATTTATTATTAATGTTGTTTTTGTGTTATTAATTCCCACGAGTGGGATTGGAACACTTGATATAAAACTTTTGCAGGCACCTTATAATCCTTCACCAGCATTCTATTTGTTTAATTCAATTTGATTTTTCTCCACATTTATTTACATATCTTCATTATTAATGTTCAAAAGTAAATAATTCGAATTGTTATAAATCAGAAACTATTAAAGAATCATTATTTATTTAATAATTAAAATTTTTTGTATTTAACAAATGAGGGATCTGCCAACACAAAAAAAATATAACTATTAATACTACACTTTGAAGGAACAAAAAAACTGTAAAATGTTTGACGAATCGATGTGCCTCCTTTGTAGCTTGGTGTTTTGCAGTACATATTAAATTTTTAATAAATATTTAGTATAGCCATATAATTACCTTTAATTTGTTTTTTTATGGAGAGTTGGTTTATAACAAAAAATTAAAACTACAGTATTGACTAATTTTATTTATTTATTTTTAACATTTAAAAAAATTTTGTTTGTACAAATCAGACAACTTTCACTTACCATGATACTTTTAGTATAAATAGGCATTTGAATTTATTAATTAAAAAATTTAGATGTTATACTTTATTCATTTAAAACAATCAATTACCATGTGCTTTCTTACTTTGTTCCCATTTGTTAGTTTTCAATCCCATCTTACAACTTATTATTTACCTTATTTATCCTTTAGTTAATTATCAAATTTTTTCATAGACAAAGTTATGAATATTTAGTTAAAGTTATGGACAAATAGACTAAAGTTATCGATATTTTAGAGGAAGCATCTTTGAAAATTCAGCATTTAAACCATGCCAGACAATTAATTTATTTGTGGATATTGAACTGCTTTATATTAAACATCATCTAATTTTACTTTGATGTAATGAGTTTCATAAAAATTGTTTTGAGAAAATGGTAAAACTTTCTATAAATAGCCACTTAGCTTTTAATTAAGTAGATTTTGGTGAAAAAGTTTCTGTAATGTCCCAGGCATTTGCCTACCTTAATTTTATCATTTCCATAAGTGATAATTGTTTTTAAAAGATTTTCATTTTAACCTTTGGGAAAATTTAAAGAAATATAATGCATTTTCTATATTTTAAATATGTCAACATAATCTAACGTTACTAATCCCGAATTTTAAATTTTAAATTTTAGATTTTTTTTTTTTATTATAGCATATTCGTTTAAAGTTTAAATAGTTTGTATTATTTTATTTTGTCGCCTTGCTATAACATGTAGAAACGTAGATGAATAAAATGCATGACTAATTGAAGCACGTATACCTATATCAAGGTGGACGGCGTCGTGGAGTGCCCAGACTGCCCGAGGGTCCATACCATATTCCGCAGTTTCCATCAACCGTGGGAGATAGAATCCACTCAGCACCTCTATTATACTACAGATATTGTTCCTATTAAGGTATGTAGTGATATTCTCCCACCAGCATGTACCCTAAAAATCTATAATCCATTTCATCCAAATTTAATGATAAGAATATCTCGGGACTCATTTTTTATTATATGATTTTTTTTGAGTTGGTAACGATATCACAGCTTATGTGTTGTTTTTACCTTTTTGTATACCACTGTTTATGTTTATTACATTTGAAAAAAAGAAAAAGAGATATCCCTAAATCATTATTGTTGAATTGGACAATTAAATGGATTTTAACTCAATATGGATTTTTCTTTGCTATGTTCTAAAAAGTTTATTCTTGACAAATATCATTCATTGTAATAATAAATTTTTATTTTCATTTTTTGATGATCTATACCAGGGATTTCTAGAATTTTTGCCCCACGGGCGACATTGAGACTCCCCTTAAGTCATGTCATGCAGTCCGCATCGACTCTGCCAATAACTCCCTCAGGCCACGGCTTGTGACAAGAAATCTATAAATAGCACTTGTGAAATGAGCTTTCTAACAGAAATAACTCATGCAATAGAAGATGTAGTAACTTCCCCTTTAAGTGATTTTTCTGGATTTCATGTTTTAAAAATAATTTTTTTAATTTTACAATGAAACCAAAGAAACTTTCGCAGGCTGAACCAGTGGTGGTTGTGAGCTGTAGTTTTGAGACCCCCTCATCTGTACAAATGATCTCTCTCTTTTTAAGAGAAACCTTTATTTAAGTACAAATATATCTATATTTGATGTATATATATTTTTTTTTAATCTTTCTAAAGAATGCTTTGGATAGTAGTCATAACAAAGAAATAATTCAAAGGTGCCCTTTTTTATGTCTCGATATGTTTGACAATTTATTGAATTTGAGAAATATCTATTTATTGAAAATAAAAAATTGATGTACGCTACAATAAATATACTATGTTTTTAATTTTTTGTGTTAACCATATTTTTATTTTATGTTCTGCATGTCATGAAGAAATTTTTGAACTAAAACTAGTTGTTGTTTTACACATTGCTTATGCTTTCTATGGTGTTTTTTTTTTACTTTTTATTTACATTAAACATTTATGCTAATTCACTGTTTATTAAATAATGTGTTTTCTTGATTTGCACACATAACTAATTTTTTATTGTAAGAATAATTTCATCACTTTACATATGAAATATAATGTATGATATAATTTACTTATATTTTCAGATTCGCGGAGGGCGAGGTAAGTCATTAGAGTCACTGGAGGGGGAGCCGAGCACGACTGGAGGAGCAGGAGGGACCAGTAGCTTCACCGGGGAGTGGGGCCGCCGCTGCTTCGAGGACGGTGACATCACCCCGACCAACGAGAACAGTTGCCTCATCACCCTCCATCAAGGAGGCGGAACTCTTCCTAGGCCGAGAGCTCTCATGAAACCACGCCCCCAGGCCAAAATCGCACCAAATCTCTGCTTTCAGCCTCCGTGAGTATTGACTTTAAGAAATAATATTGGAATATCACAATATAAGATAACTAACTACCAAAGTTTTAGTAGTGAATTTTCTTTTTTATTTTCACTTAACTATAGCATAGGAAATTCAATTAGTTATAGCGAAGGAAAGTATTGCAATCGTGAAAATTTTTGAATCTCAGTTTTCAACGGAAATACACGTTTTGAGGTCCTCCAAGCCCAAATAACCAACTCCCACAAAATGATATGTGTGTGTGTGTGTGTGTGTTTGTTTGTTAACAGTCTACCTCAAAAAATGAAAAATCATATGAAAGTGAAATTGCAAATTTAAGATTTTTATTTACATGGGATGTTACAGCAGCAACTTTTTTGTCTAAATTGGCTAACCGGAAGTGGCACTTTATTGATTTAACACATTTTTACGATTTTCTCAAAACTGCTCTAACGATTTTTATTATATCAGTGTAAAGTTAAGCAGTTTTTAATATAATGTAGGTTTTATTATCATTGATGTTCTATAACAGGACTTAAATGGCTAATTTTCAATATTAGCTTCCCCTTAAGTATTGGGTTGGCAAATAAGTCCTTTTGGTTTTTCTGTTTATTTTTGTTACTATGATACACACTTCTTATCTGATGAATTAATCCCTAAGGTGGATTGTTTATCCTGTTTGTAAGATGTCAACAACTATGTCTGTTATGTCTTGTTGAAACTAGCTTAGTATTGTGTTTGCTATTGCTCTGTAGATATGGAAGAAAATATCATTCATTATCGGCATATTTTGTTGTATTATTTTAAAAAAGGTAAGCGCGCTGCAGAAGCTCATAGAAAAATTTACTTATGGAGATGATGCCTTAACCAAACGCACCAGTCAAAATTGGTCCATTCATGAAATTTTGACATCAATGATGCTCAACGGTCTGGTCGCCCACATGAAATTGAAACGAGCAATGTTAAGGCCATTTTTGATCAAAATCCCACCCAATCAGTGCGAGAGATTGCTATGGCCCTAAATGTGTCGCACACAAGCTAGAAAACCATTTGCACAAGCTCGGCCATGTTGCCAGGCGTAATATTTGGGTCCCTCACATTTTTAACAATAAACTCTATGAGCATGGCATTATGCAGTTAGTGGAAGGAAGGAAAAAAGTCATATTAAATAATGGTCCCTATATTGCAGATTAAAATAAATTTTATGTCTATAGTACATTAAGTTTTACTTCACCCTGAAAAACCGCAAGGACTTATTTACCAACCCAATACTTTTATTTTTGGTTAATTATTACTGGAGGTAGGGATTCATTGTATTTGTGCGAGAGGTTATAAAAATGTTTCGCTCAGAATCGAAAATTTCTACTCGTGTTCAATGTTTCAGACATCAAGGATCAAATTTGGTCCGATGTCTGTCTGTTTGTAATCAACAGGCGTATGATATGTAACGCTCATATCATCTACTACCATTTATCTGATTTTCGTGGAATTTTCAGGAATTGTGCAGATTGGTCTCTAGATAGTCCCGCATCAATGTTATCAAATTCCATCCAACACTTCCTTTTGCATTTTTGTAGAAATGCCAATATTTCAGAAATGGCTTGTTCAATTTGGCTCCAAGTTTGATAAATTGTAGATATTCGTGAAAATTGGTAATAAATAATAAAAAGGCTTAGCGAACCCGAAGGTTCGATGCCGTCACCACCAATCACTTATTGCACACCTCCCTCCATCGTTCGCCGTCCAAACCCAGTCCCTTCAGATCAGCTTTAATGCAATCTTCCCACCTTCGCCTCGGTCTACCCCTCAGACGCTTACCATTCCGCACAGCAAATATCAACCTTTTAGGAATTCTCTCGTTACTAAGTCCAACAACTTTACAAGCCCATTTGATTCGCCGCGATGAAATTACCTCAATTATATTACCTGGATACAGTTCACGCAATTCGGCGTTGTGTAACCGTCTGAACTCTCCGGTTAACTCATCCTTCTTCGGTCCGAATATTCTACGCAATACTTTATTTTCAAAAACCTTAAGACGCTGCTCATCCCTTAATGTAAGCGGCCAAGTTTCGCACCCATAAAGAACTGTAGGCAAGATAATTGTTTTATAGATTATAATTTTTAAGTTCCGGGACAAGAGGCGCGAACTGAGTAGTTTTGTCACAGAAAAATAGCAAGCATTTCCCGCCTTCAGTCTAACCCGTGAAAATTGATATAGTCTCAATTTTATTAATGACTTTTTATTTTATTTTATTAATGACTTCTGCCCACTACATTCTCTTATATATGAGAAAACTTGTTTTTCTTGATACGTCCATGTCTCTAAAACTGCACATTCGATTTGGCTCAAATTTAGAGGGATTTAGTTATGGATTGGTGAACAGATAATCAAGTTAGTATGAATTTTATCAAATTCTATCCACTACTCCAAAAAAAAAGCGATTTGATCCAAACTTGGAGGAAATTTGGAAAATAATATAGAAATTACTTAGTATCAATTCCATTGAATTCCATGTATTAATTAAAATTAATATAAATAATAGTTAACAATATAATGGCTGTGAAATGTGGAAGATATTGATCATATGAAGTGGGAGTTAGGTTAAGATAATATTTTTATGGGATTATAAAATATCAGGTTTTATTCATAAAGTTAATTTATACCGTTAAAAGTTAATTTAGTCGACTCCAAACGTTACTGGCATGACCCTTACTGCCCTTCCTTAAATTTCGTGTAATTTTCTGTAAATTTAAATTAATTTTTACTCTGAGTTTGTCTTAAAAGTCTTATTTTTTATTGTATTTATTTCTATTTAAGTACATCCAGCTCCTCAAGGTCTCAATTTCTTCCTTAAATACCAAAGTTGTGTGAACTTCATGCATATTTTTATATTACAGCTTAATTAGATTTGTTCTGACTGAAGAAAAGTATATAAACTAATTATTCCTTCATGATTAATTAGTATGATTTCATATGTTATTTTGCTCTGTTATATTACATAGTAGCAGACTACTGACATAAGTTGCAGACTACAAAATGTCATCTTTAGCAAAAATAGAATATAAATAATAAAATTTTATTTATATCTTTTGCACTGACAGCAGTGTTATATACTTATTATGGTATGTTTGTTTGTTTCGATGTCTAGGCGCAAAACATCCAGGTCATAAGCGCCCGATCAACTAAATAACATCATTTAATACTATTTGGACGATTGGTACAAAAAAAAAATAAAAAAATAAAAAAAATAAAAATAAATAAATAAATAAAATAAAATAAAATAAATTAAGAAATGGATTGATAGAATAAAATAAATAATTAAGGATAATAACTCAATAAATAAATAAGGATAATAACTCAAAGGATAATAACTTATTATGGTATGTTTTCATTTGTAAAATGGTCTCCTTAACTCCGAACAAACAAAAAGTTGAATTTTTCCTATGGATTTTTTGTTCCATCCATTTTACGAGTGAAAACAAAGTGAGTGAAAGGTTAGATGATTCCATATCAATTTCATCCGATACCTCTGCTTTTGAATTCGCATATTTATGTAAAATGGCTCGTTCAGTGTTAGGCTCCAATTTGGAGCTAAGTTAAGATTAAGTGAAAAAAATTATCGAGTATCAATTTTATCAAAGTCTAAGGTCTGTTTTCACTTACGTAAGTGTATAAGTATTTTCTTTTAAGCTTATATTTCAAAGATAATTCATTTGATTTGGGATAAAGTTGGAGGAAATGTGGGAAACAATATACAAATAGTTCGCCATAAATTTTCATTTAACAATTAAAGTTTAAATAATTATCAAGAACATAATAGCTGTAAAATGAGGTTGACAGTGAACTTATGTCATTGTTAGGTTATATTGGTTTTAAATAGAATTATTATGTTATTGAAGTAGATACATATTGGCGTTGGCGTATTTTTTTATGTACATAATAAAAATAATGAGGAAGCTATACTGACTTACTTGGCAGACATTTCTTTAGTTTTATGCAACTAAACTTAATTTAAAACTATTTCATTCATATTAACATATTTTATATATGTTAATATTTAGTTTAAATTAAATTACAACTATATTTATATGTTTAGGTAATATATAAACATTATACTACAACATAGTTAGGTGTAGTATAAGAAGTGTAATAAGAAATTACAGAATGTTCTGAAGATTGGGATAACAATTGAGACAGGGTGGCCGAACGGGCTAAGGAGTGTGCAAAACACACGTTGCCTGACAACCTGTTATTGTAAAAGTTATTGTAATAAAATAGCGGAGCTTTTAGTTCTTAACCGGGATAACCCCGGTATAGCCTAAAAGGCGAGGCAAATAAAAAAAAAAAAAAAAAAGATTGGGCTAATACCCAAAATGTTAACATTTTATTTAAATTGTTTTTAATAAATAAAATAGTTCTAAATAAAAGTTTAGTTGACTAAAAATTAATTAAATAGACATATGAACTTCCTTGAAAATTCAAAATATAGAAATTGAGCTATCACTTTTGAAAACAAATTACCTAATTTCATGGTAATATCAGGAAAAAAAACGTCTGCCAAGTAAGGTCAGTATAGCTTCCTCACCGTTTCCGTTGTATATTACAAGGTATACAATTTTTCGTATGAGAATAAAATCTCTGAGAGAAGCAGAATCGGAATAGCCGATTACAGTTACCCTTCAACATTCAACAACAGAGGGTCATATTTGAATATTCCATACTTGATTATGCTTAATAAAAAAATAAATAAATTAAAAAAAATGCATACTGAACATGAATTTCAATACTGTTAGTTCAAAAGGTGTTATGTATAAATTTATTTATTGTTTTACAAGAGTGCATAAAAACTCAATATTTCTTTATACTTTATTAGAATAATTTCATATTTTATTTTCATCTGCTATTTTCCATAGTAGCAGACTACTTATATCAGTTGCAGACTACAAAATATCACCTTTAATACACATAGAATTAAAGTTGAAAATTATTACGTACGAACTTATGCTCTAATAATAGTATATACATTACCGAATCAAGATTTAATTTTGGAGGAGGGGCTTCAGCACGAAAGATTTATATATATATATATATATATATATATATATATATATAACGATAATTAATTTGAAAAAAACCACTGCAAATTATTTCTCTTTGGTATATTATTTCCAAACAATTATACATATAAAGTAACATTAAATACCTAGTTATAAATAAAAATAAATAAAAGGTGATTCTAATTATTGGACTAAAATTTTTTTTAATCATTAGTAATATGCTAAAAAAAATAGCATTACTTCAGTAACACATTCAGAAATCAAAAAAAAGATAAACCTTTTGCAACAGCACATCTAAAAAAAACTAGAGACCATATCTTTGCTAATAATTGTCCGATTTTGACGAAATTTTTTTTTTTTTTAGGAAATTCCGTAAACTTCTAAAAAACATAATACAATATCTACAAAAAAGTGTATACTTTTTGAGTTATTCGGAATTTAATTTTACCATCCCTCGTAACTTTTTTTGAGCTTCTTTTCGTTGAAGTATGTAGTATAGATAAATTTAGAGGGCGTACAGAAAATGACTTTAGCGAAGTTTCATCATAATCGGTACATTCGTTTAGGCGCTACAGTCTATAGCAAAGCAGGTTTTTCGGCTGCCATTTTGAAATAGAAGGCGAATAGTAATGTCGTTGAAGGAGGATGATCCTCGGGTGATTTCTGATTTTATATCCAAATTCGAAAAAAATCGGTCTAGTAGTTTCAGAAAAAATGCGCGGACGGCGGACTAGTAGTGCACATATATGAGAAAGTGTTGGACGCAATTCAATGAAATTGACACTACATTATTTTTTCACCAAAGTCTACCTTTTATCTAACTTTGAGCCAAATCGAACGAGCCCTTTCTGAAATATTGGCATATCTAAAAATATACGTCTGCGCGTGCGTAAGCGGAAGTGCTGAATGGAATTTGATAAAATTGATATGGGACCATCTAGGCACCAATCAGCATAATCCCTGAAAATTTCATGAAGATTGGATGAACGGTACTAGGTGATATGCCCGTCACATCGATTTGACTACAGACAGACAGACAGACACCGAACCAAATTTGATCCTTAATGTCTGAAACGTAAAACGCTAGTGAAAATTTTTGATTCTGAGAAAATTTTTTTTTTAATTTCTCGCACGAACACAATGCTTCCCTACCTTCGGTAGTGAGGAAGCAATAATAATTTACACAAAATTGATCATTCATATTTCAATAAATGACTGAGTAGATCTTGTACAAAGTTAGATAGAAAAATACTTGTTTTCCCCTTCTTAGAATTTCGCTACAATATATAAACCAGTTATACATAAAAATAAATTATATAATATTTATATGTATACAGAGTATTTCAGGGTTAAGTGGCCTGTAAAAATGAACTAAAGACTTCAACACGAGAAAAAAAGTTGTTTGAAGGTATGTCCACAAACTCTTTGTTTAGGAAATATTCAGCTCTAAAGATTTTCATTGTTATGAATTTTTTACATTATATACAGTAAATAAAACCTATTTATTTTTTCTGACTTCTGTATTAATTAAATGTAAACATTAGTATTCATATTAAATGTTGTTCAAAGTGATTTCCTTGAGCATTAAGACAGGCTCGGCATATTTCGTCAATTTCACTGGCAGAACGGCACTGGATATGAGTTATTGTTTCACAAGATTAAATTATCCTTCTTCTTAAGGTATTAAGGTCATTGACCGGACTTAATCATATCCCATATTCCAATCCATGGATCAGCCATGCAGGACCAGAGGTCTGCACACTCTCCAGACCTGACACTACCGGATTTTTTTTGTTTTGGTGACATTATGAAAAAGTCTTTGCAAGTCCCGTCAATGACCTTAATTCCTTACAAAGAAGGATAATTGAATCTTGTGAAACAATAACACATATCCAGATCCGTTCTGCCACTGCTGCTGTTGAAGAAATATGCCGAGCCTGTCTTAATGCTCAAGGAAATCACTTTGAACAACATTTAATATGAATGTTAATGTTTACATTTAATTAATAAAGTAGTTAGAAAAAAATAAGTTTTATTTATTTCATATAATGTAAATAATTCATAAAAACAAAAATCTTTAGGTGTGAATATCTCCTAAACAAACCATTTGTGGACATTCCTTCACAGGAAATTTTTTGGAAATTTTTCTTGTCTTGAGGTCCTTAGTTAATTTTTGCTGGCCACTCAACCCTGTTCTGTAAGTAGAGGGAAATATTTAAAAGTTTGATTATAAATATCAAGATCTACAAAAAAGTTCATATAAACAATTGCGCAATTTCCAACAGACAAGTAGGAAATTTCAGATTTGTGTTTTTTAGCTAGTCACGTTTTTTTCTTGAATAGGAAGTGATAACATAAAAAATACTTGATTTAAGCAATTAAACATTGCTCCATAATAAACTAGACAAAATTAACTTTAAAGGAAAGTAAAGTTTGTCATTGTTTAAACTATTTAAAGAGGAATAAGAGTATTGAATGGACAAATACAGCTAAGTTCTGTTAAAAAAAAGTCATAAATTATTTGTGATTTTTTTTTAACGCTCTTCAACTGTACTAAATTTACCCCACTTTTAGAAAAACTTTCTTGTTTGATAAGTTTTAAGCCCATATTAATTAAGTTGAGGTTTATTTAGAAAAAAATTGAGATTCACCTCAAGTTGTGCAAAGAAATGATGTGATTTTCTAAGCAGTCACCTAAAAGTATCTGTTTTTAGCAAAAATGACTATAATTAACTGTTGCAGAAAATCATTTATTTCTCATGTTTCCGTGATATGAGATGTATTGCAATAACAATGATTGCCTAAAAACACATTTTATTTTTAAAAATAATGATTTTTCATTTAAGGCGGTTATGAAATTGTATTTTTCTCCCAAATTTCTGTCATAGGACTCGCTAAAAAAAAACACAAATTAAATTTTCTACTTTTTTATTGGACATTGAGCATTTGTTTCTATAAACTTTTTTGTAGGTCTTGATGTCTTTTAAATATTTCCCTTTACTTACGGAACACCTTGTATATTTAAATACTTATATGTACTTTCACATAGTAGTTAGTTCATTTCATTTCTTTCTAACTTGTCATTATCAATTCTATAAATTGTTTTTCCTCCTTTTTAATTTTACAGAATGATGCAGACCTGCACTATTAGGTCTAGCCCATTCGATGAATTATATTTGCAGAGATTAAATCAATATTTTTATTTTTAAGTTCTATAAAAGTTTTAATCCATGTTGTGTTATTCAAATAAAATTTATGTTTCAATCTTATGTTATATTGAGCCAGAGGTGTGACATTCATAATTTTGTTTTTCTTATAATTAGGGTTATATTGTGTCATTTAATGCAACGCCAAGCATGTAAACATTATTATATGTTGTATTGTAAAAATATGCAAATAAATAATTTTTTTAAAAATATTGTCATTCTAGTAGCAAGTTTAAATTTACTTTGTAGATAACATTTATTTTGTTTATCAGTGAATGACATTTTATTTTTTAAAAAATAGTTTATTATTTATTTTATAATACTCAATAATTGTAATTTTGTTTTGTGCAGTGAAATTAAACAGGAGCAAGAGTGCAGCCGGCTGAGCCCGCCCGTGCTGAGGTCCGGCGACTCCGTCACGGTGGTGGCGGACCTCCACCATCCCGCCCACCATTACAACGGCTCTGACGCTAGCTTCAAGGTGGTTAACAATTTCTCATAGTTTTATAAGTATTCTTTTAAGACTGACTTCTTATTACTAAAAAATAATGGGCACTCACTACCTCGAGTGCTAAAGAGTTTAGTAAATTGAAATTATCCTTATTTAATTTAAGCTGAAATAATTCTTTACAAATTAAATATTTTAAACAATTCTGCAATGGGATATTATTATATTGAAAAGGTTCATCACATTTGATGATTAATTCATCAGTAAAATTAACATCTTTTTTTAAACTGTTTTACTAAAGAAACATTGCAATTTTTCTTCTTATACAACTTTGTATTATAATTTTTTTAGTTATATATTCTTCCACATAGTTAATTCTCAAAAGAAAATTTCTGAGTTACCCATAAAAAGATATTAACAATAATTTAACTAGATTTCAAGAATTAAAATAAATATGTATATTTTTTGGTTTATTATTTTCAATAATGAACCATTGTGATCGACCAAAAAATTCAAAAACTTAACCCCCTCTCAAAATTTGAGGTTTCACGTTTCAGGCTAGGAAATAATCGAAAAATGAATAAAAAGTTTTTTGTCCATAGCCGTCTTTTTTTTTTTTTAGTCACGGGACGCGAACTCGTGATTATATTTTATCATAGTATCATATATCAGGTTGCCGGGCAACGGTGGTGCTGTGCACACACGTTAGCCCCTTCGGCCACCCAGTCTGCTGTCCGTGTATTTTCTTCGAAACTACTGAACCGATTTTTTTCAAATTTGGATATACAATCAGAAGTCACTCAAGGATGATCCTCCTTCATCAACATTACTACCTGCCTTTTACTTCTAAAATCGCGGCCAAAAATCCTGCTATTGCAAATATCCAAAAATTGCTGTAGAACGTAGGGCCTAAAGGAATGTACTGATTTCAATGAAAATTTGCTAAAGTCATTTTCTCGACGCCCTTTAAATTTATCTCTGTATAACATAATTCAACGAAAAGAAGCTGCGAAATAAGTTATGAGGGATGGAAAAATTAAATTCCGAATAACTCAAAAAGTATACACTTTTTTGTAGATATTGTATTATGCTTTTTAAAAGTTAACAGAATTTCCAAAAAACAAAAAACAGCTCATTAAAATCGGACAATTAGGAGCAAAGATATGGTCTCTAGTTTTTTTTTTATATGTTCTACTGCAAATTTTATATCCTTTGTTTTGGTTTTTAAATTTTGGATGTGTTACTGAACTAATGATTTTTTTTTTTTTTTTTTTTTTTTTTTAGCATGTTACTAATGATTAAAAAAGAAAGTTTAGTCCAATAATTGGAATCACCTTTTATTTTATTTTTTCTTTGTAACTAGGAAGATAATCTTACTTTAGATGTATAATTGTTTGGAAATAATAAACCATTGTGAAATAATTTGCAGTATTTTAAACATCTTATGGTATATATATATATATATATATATATATATATTTTAATATTAACTTATTAAATTTTCAGTCAAGCTCAAGCACAGAATCCGACTCACTTCCATTTGCCAATGAAAATGCTGGAACTATAAAACAGAGAGCGAATAGAAATCCAGGTAAAATTAAATAAAATTTTTTTATTTTAGACTAATTGTTCTGTCATAATTACAAGAGCAGTTTATAATTATAATACTTACAATATGTTATTTAATTATAGTTATAATAATTACAATTTGTTATATAAAAGAAAATGTATTGTAATGATCAGTATTTTACTAGGAAATATATGGTTGAATCTACATGTATCGAACTTATATCAATCTAAAATCTTTATACATCAAATTTTCTTTAGGAAGTTAAATTATTATTAGAAAAAAAAATCTATATTGTAAACAGTTAAAGTCATCAAAAAGAATCCTTCTTTTATATTCAGAAGAATGGATAATAATTAATTTCAGAAGTTAGTCGGGGGTGCGATCGATATATAAAATACTATATTATTTAATAGCATATTTATTGCATTGTCCAATGTTTCAACATACGTTGTAGGTCTTCTTCAGGGCTATATAAGTTGCAAATAATATATATTAGTTATTTAATTATATATTGATTATACAGGGTGTTTCGTAATTGCGCGGCACTATTTTAGGTATGTGTTCACTAACACAAAATAAACAAAAAAGTTCATATTAATATATATGACTCAAACTCATTTATTCAACAGATATCAAAGGTTAAAGATTTATTATTTATTTACTACATTAAGACTAACTGTACAAAGTTAACATGTTTAATACTGAATAACAGGTTTTAAGTACCAAATAAATGATAGGCAATGACAGTAGTTGCTCATCTCTTTGCCTAGTTCCGTGTTTTAGTGTGAGTGAATACTGTGATACAGTTCAATTTATGATTGTCATACACAGAACTAGACAAACAGATGAACTATCTACCATATCTTCATATCATGATAATAATGAATAATTAAAAAAAATCTTGTTTCATGGTTTCTTATTCCCTTGTTTAAGAATAAACAATATGATACCCACGACTTTTATTTTAACTTTGTCTTTTTTATTGTGAAAATTTCTCTTAAATGAAAATAATTTAGTATGAAAGAAACGTTTGATTTCATAAAAAATGTAAAAATTCGGATGAGAAATAAATATGTATCAAAAATTGAGCCTTAGTAATATATTTATAAATACAAAGATATTCAGCCTCTTTACAATCTTTTAGTAGTTAAAGATATTTAATTTATTTTACTAGTTAAGTTTTAATTATGATTACATTTTTCAGATTTTATACCAACTGTAAGGATACAGGCTCCTCCAGAATGTTCCCTCTTATCGCAAAGGTATATTTTAAAAATCTTACATTCTAAAATAGGTTAGTTATTACAAGGATGAAAATCCATCTCTTATGTAATTTATTCAAATAGATGCTTCAATTCAACATTATTCTAATTTAGGCTATACTTTTAATGTTTAAAATTTTAGTTATCTAGAACTTTTATTTCATCAGGAATAGTGTGTTAGTGCCTATTTACATTTCATTAAAATTTATTAGTTTTATAATTTTTGTAGAAAAACCATTTCTCATTCACTATTTCTGTTTCTCTCTTCTTGTTGAAAAATATTACTGATATTTTGAGCATATAAGTATTATTAACTTACATAACGTCAGTTTATTGGGAAAAGTTATTAAGTAACATTTTAATAAATTTGAGATGATCAAATTTGATGTTTCTGATTCGTTTTAAAAATACTCAAGTAGCAATTTGATTATTTATCTTTTGTTATTTGCAATTCTAAATATGTATTATATTTTTGACAACTAATGTAATTAAAATACTTAGCATATACATAACAATGAAAAAAATGAAACCACAACACACTTATGACTTTTTGCCCAGTATCATAGTTAAACAAAACACTGACTTACTTTCATAACCTTGCAAGTACATAGAATGTGAGTTAGATTTATTTCATTTAGCTAGTTTTATTAACCACCAGATCAATTAAGCTAGTGAAAGAAGTCATTAACTTCAGATAGTGACTTTTTGCTCTGATTTGTATTATTTTTATGCACTAAATGAGTTATTGTGTCAATAAATTTGATCGAAATTAACTACTACCTACCTTCAAGTAAAAATTGACCAAAAGTGTACTTGGCGATTTTTTTAAATAAACCGACAATATGTAAGTAGTTCAAAAAAAAAAATTAACTTTCTTAAATTATTTGTATTACTTTACATTGGATAATTATTTTATATTAATTGAATGTATTGCTTACTTTTTTTCTTAACTTGGAAGTAATCCATTTTCTTTTTCAGGAAAGGCGGCAAAGACGATGCAGGAGACGTGCTGGATGACATAGGCAACATGCTTGCCAACCTAACAGACGAATTGGACGCCATGCTCGAGGAAGAGAAGAGGCAAGGTCTAGTCGACGACTGAACAGAACCACAATTACCTCTCCCCGATTATTACTACTTAATAGCTCTATTACTTTTGTTGTCTTGTGTAAATAGTCTCCTTGGAGTTTTGGGCAAGATATTTTTTTTAATCGAGATGGGCGCCATAGCAGCTTGTTTTAGAAACCGTCATTGTGACATTTTGTTTAAATATGGCTCAACTCTTGAACATGTCAATTATAACTGCACAGGATTTATTTTCACAGAAAGCTGATTGTAATATATTATAAATAGTCATGATCGATTATTGTATCGCTTCATTAATGATCTTTACTTAATTTGCATTTTTTCATATGGTTTTGATGCATTTGTTTCATTTAATAAAGTAATTTCAAACAAGAACCGTGCCACTTTCTTGACAGTCGACTGTTAGTTTGTTTATTTTATTTCAACTGTGGGTGGGAAATTATTCACTACTGAAAATAAATTTATCGAACTTTGTTAAAAGTAATATTTTTCATCTTAGTTGATTTTATTTATAATAAATATTATTGACTAAAACATAAAATTTTAACCATATGCCGGCCATAATAAGGGACAGCTTCTTATCTCGTGGTATATTTTAATATTAAGTTATTAAATATTCTATAACGAGAAATTTAGGGGTTGATGTAGTTGTCTTAGGGAAGCTGCTGATAGATTTTTGTAAATATTGAATCAAAAGAGTTATCTCAAAATAGAGTGCGTTGATTGATTACTAACCGTCCAGAAATTAGATAACCGTTGTCCTCAAAGTTGATGTAAGTCGATTTATCAATTACTAGACTCAGATGCATATATTTCGTAATTCTAAATATAGTATCAACTTATTTATGTACCTAGCTTAAACTCATTATAAGAATTCATCATAATAATTAGTTAAGTTCTTCTTAATTTAACATGTTGAACGCCACCTGAATTATGGATTTGTGGGTTGTTAGCCAGTGTAAGAACTAAACATGTTCTTTGGTCTTATTAATTTTAAGACTTAGATTTCGAAAATCTTTTATGATGGCTTGAAATTGAGTAGTTTATTTTAACAAATATGTGTAAATTTGTTTTCAGTAAATTCTGTAAATATTGCTTACTATCTAGTTGGAGATTAGGTAATGATTGTGTTTCATTTGTGATCGGTAACAGATTTAAAAAATATTAAAAAATCACAATATTAATACTATTCTAAAGTTGTTCCGTTTAAGTCAACATAAGAAAATATTATGGCGACTATTTCGTCTCTTGTTATAATTCTTATTCTTATTTTTAATGAATTTGAGTCATGTATGATTTGACTTTTGTATTTATTTTTGTTTTGTAAATATAAAGAGAATCCTTATTTGTAACAAAACTTGAAACTAAATAGTGTTCCAGATTAGAAATGTATCCAAAATTATTTTATTTTAATTTTAATTTTATCAACTTTATTCGTCTATTATTGAATTGTTCGAAAAAGAAAGCAAACAATATATGAATTTGAAATTTAATGTGACGAGTATAAGAGATAACAATATATATTTAATATATATGTATTCAAATGTCGATTTTTATAAAATTAAAAAAAAAATTACTCCATCACATTAAAAAAATCAATAGTTATAGGAGTAAAAGTTTGTTATACATATTTAACTAATTATTGTTAGATTTTGTATAAATGTACGATTGTGTATAAGCAATTGTATTCATGTAAATTACCTTATTTAATATATATCAGACATAGCCGAACATTTTGTATCAACTTTAGAAGTTATATTCTATAAGACTGGAGTTGCATTTTGAGTTGAAAATGTATTCGTAGAGATTTATTGTATTGTATATTTGACTTGTATGTAACGCATTTTTAGCGGAGTAGAAGTGTAAATTAATAAATTAGAAAGTTACTACTATTTCTTCCACCATTTTATTATACCTAGAATATTTTAATTCATTCATCATAATCCTAACTCCAGCTTTGAAATACACAAACCTAAAGCGAAGAAGCACACTGTAGAATGTCGGATGTTATAGAGAGCAACGTTAGATATCTATAATTATTTTTCCATAAAATCATGTACTAATTATTACATTTGATTTTTAATTTATAAATTAGGCATGATTTTTAAATATAAATTTAAAGTGATCTTGGTTGTTTATTGATTTGATTAAAAATAATGATTATTCAATGAGTGATGCAGTTTTACATACATAATAATAATTAAAGTTGTGGTAAAAAAAAAATTTGATCAAATCATTTTCATTATCATTCATTTCATTTCGTCAAATCATCTGTTACACACAAATTAAATAAAATATTAATATTTATGTATGCATTATTAATTTACACATTTTTTTAAATATTATATTTCTGAATTCGCTTTAATCGCACAGACAGTAACTGCACAATATACATTTATATATTTCATTTTTTTTTTTTTTTTTGTAAGGCAAAATTTCTAATGAATTTCAGAAATAAAGATGTTCTGTTACTAATACAACAATATTGTCCACCTACTATTCCAAACTCAAAATATATCACAGAGATTTCAAAAAAATTATATTTTTGATTTAAAAAAAGTATTACTCAAGAATTATTATTATTGTTAATTGTGAAAATTGTGTTAAAAAAAAAAAAAAAAAATGCTCTTAAATCATCAAGTGATTTTAAAAATTCTGATCATTTTGATATTGATTTTTTTCTAATATTAGAGATTGTTGGCTATAATGTATTTTCAATTTTAATACACAGGATATACCAAGTAAAAATAACTAATAGTGAAACATAAAACTGTAAGGATAAAATACAATTTATTATAAATTTAACTTGAAAAAGAAAACATTTTAAATCAACAAAGGAATATAAAAAAAAAAACACAAGATAAAACAGAGAATGTTTAAAAAGGAATTCAAATTTATAAATGCTGCACATATACATTTACAGATTTATTGCTAAAAACGGACATGAGGAAAATTCTTTTTACTTATTGAATTTATCTGAAGTCTAAATACAATAAACCTCTTAAGAATACTATCTTTAATATTGTGACAATTAATTATGTGTTCTTCATCAACAGAAGTCATTTTTCTCTAAGAAAAATCTTCTTAAATCACCTCTTACTGAGTTGATTCGGCTCATATAGGTTTTGAAAATGACTTAATCCTTTAATTTGTTACTTTATTTTATTGATTTCTTTATAATTCAGTAGTTATGAAAGAAAAAGATGGAAATTAAGTTTGAAACTTGGTTATAGAAGATATTTTTATAGTTAGCGCCTATTAGCTGATACAATTTTTATTTTGAAGTCAAGTGGTTTCAAGTATAAAATTGAAATTCGGTTTTCCTTTATAGTTATTGTTACTTCCAATATTAAAAATATGAGTGTAGCTGATGATCCTTAAATGATAATTAAGCGATCCAGAATAAACATTAACAGTTTTAGAATTTCAATTATATAAAAACTAAGGAAAATAATAATTCATTTCAGAACTTTTGCAACACAATCTATTTCTTCAATCAATCAAGATGAGTATAATATCACTTATTCTGGCATAAACGAAAAACAACTTTTAAGTTACTCCAGATCTCAATAAAGTTAAGGATGATCAACTATACTCATATTTTAATGATGAAAGTAACAATAACTATAAAGGAAAACCAAATTTTAATTTCATACTAGAAACTACTAACTTCAAGATAAAAATTGTGTTAGCTAGTAGCCTCGAACTATAGACAGTATCTACATATAACCAAGTTTCAAACTTGATTTCTATTTTTTTTGTTTCATTAGCACTGAATTAAAAAGGAAAATTAATGAGTAAAGTTAAGAATTAAATTATAGTCACGATTTTAAGTCTATGAAGAAGAAACCAAACTTATCACTTTAAACATTAATGTATATATAACTATTAAATAAGAACTACCTATTAGTAAACTAAATCAATTACTAAAACAACACAAACTTTTAAACAAAATAAAACTAATAAAATAAAAGTCTGTGAAGATGAAACTTATCACTGAACATCAAACAAAAACTATCACTTTAAACACTAAAACGTGTAACTATTCAATAAAAAATACCTATTAATAAACTAAAACTATCACTTAAACAACAAAATTTTGTTGGAACAAATAAATGTGTTTCTGTGAAGAGTTGTTTTAAGTTTACCTCCATTCTCTCTTTATAATCAAATACTGATGTTGATTTCTGTATGTATTAATAACTAAAGATGTATATCTAATTCAAAGTAAAGCTGTTTGCTGTTTTTCTTTTCAAATATTAAAGGTAAGTTTTCACAATTTTCTATCTATTAAATTGTTCATGTTCATAAGATATAATTTATTCTTTGTTTTCTCATTCAATGTTGTTATTTTAAATTTTGACACTGGCTTTCATTTAAAATATTTTGATAGTTGAAATCTTAACATTTTAAACATATTTTTTGAAAATTATCTTGTGCTAATTGGTAATACTATAGAACATTATGATTATAGTTGATCGACTGTGATTTATATCATGGAAAAAATTATCAGGATCCAATCATTATTTTATTGCGAAATACAACTCTGAATTCAAACTGTTGGATATTCGTCAATAATGAAATTAAATCAGTAATACAAGATATATATAAATTAATATAGTATAGACAAAAATAAATAACAAAATGATAATCGATATAAGTAAATAAGGATAAAGAGAGTAGTAAGAATATAAATAATAATAGAGATACATATCATTTTACTTAATTTACATCCTCATCACGTGATTTATCTTTACTTACTTCTATTATTTTTCTTTTTGAATCAAAGGAAAGGAAGGTAGAAAAACAAACAGTCCGAAGTTCAGATTTTATTTATAATGTATATTTGGGTTATAATATATAAAACTTTTACATATGTTTATTTATAATATATTTTTCAAAATTACAAACAGCCCCCGACTTTGATGGATTGACTGTGTGTCTGGGGAGGCGAGGAGTTTGCCAGTCCACAACTGGATGGCAGCAGCCTAGGACAGAAACTTCTAGAGGTTGCTGGTTGCGGAATCCTGAACGTGTCAACGTGTTGTTGCACCAAACTAATAATAATACAAACAGCATTTAATAAGAGAAATAAAAATATCCGCTTATAATATTACGCAACATTTTTATCATTTATAATATACATTCACAAAGTAATGAATACAAGTACATAAAGTTAAATTCATATACATAAAAACAAAATAATGAATTATAGGTATGGATTGTATTGTACTGTTAAGTAAATGTTTAGTCTATAAAACAAATACTTTTCAATAATAGAGATACATATTATTTTTATTTTACTTTTTTTATATCCTCATCACCTGATTTATCGTTATTTACTTCTATTATTTCTCTTTTTGAATCAAAGAAAAGGAAGGTAGAAAAACAAACAATCCAAAGTTAAATTTTTATTTTTTAATAGTATATTTGGGTTGTAATATATAAACATTTTATACAAGTTTATTTATTATATATTTTACAAAGTTACAAACAGCATTTAAGGAAAATAAAAATATCCATTTACATTACACAGCATTTTTCTCATTTATAATATACATTAGTGAATGTATATAGTAGTAAGAATATAAATAATAATAGAGATAAATATTATTTTACTTAATTTACATCCTCATCACGTGATTTATCTTAAATTCATTCATCGTTAAATTCATATAAATAAAAACAAAATAATGAATTATAGATATGGAATGTATTTTAATGTTATTATTATTATATGTTACTGTTATTATATTATTGGCATGTATTGTATATTATTGTTATTATTATTTATATAACAGATTAAGATGAAATGGTTAATTATTTCTAATAAAAAAAATTTAATGTACTTTAGAGGAAGACATTTTGAATAAATTGGCATCTAAGCCCTGTCAGGTTGTATCGATGAGGATAAAACCTAACTTAAATTAAAAACCACTTAATAATACACTAAACTGTTAACACATATACACATGCGTGTGCGTGCACACACACACAGACCATTTTATGGGACATGGTTATTCAGGGGACCTCAAAATGTGTATTCCTTTAAAAATTGAAATTCAAAAAAATTTCAAGATTGCAATACTTTCTTTTACTCTATATTTCATATATAGGTAAGTGAAAGTAAAAATATATAGAAAACGGTACCAATATTTAGTATGATAAAAAAACAAAAAATCTACACAGAATCATAAATTTGGCATTTCTATTGAATGATTTTCATTACAAATATAATTTTTATTTATCTTATATTATGATAAATTAATTTCAATTAATCATGAAACAATTACGTAACTTTGAAAAATCTAATGTAAATATGAATAATACACACAAAATAAATCTTTCAATAAATGTAATAAGAGTAGAAGTAAATCTAAGATCTGCTAATTTTAAGCCCTTTTCTTTTCAACTCTTGCATCAAACACCTTTAAATGTTTTCCTTCAAACGAAAGGATTGTTTTACTTATTCTCTTATTACTTTTTGTTAGGTATACATACTTATCACCTGACGATATTGATTCAAATTGATGCAATACTTATGAAAATATTCTTTATTTATTTTATAATAATTACAAGTGTTAAATAAAATGAATAATTGCAATACCAATAATTAAATTATTACAATAATGATCTAATGATTACAGGAATCAAATGACAGTAAATAATATTTTAAATAATTAAAATAATGAATACAAAAATTAAGAAGGAAAGTTCTTGTCCAACTTGGTTAGTTCTTGTGCAGACTTAAAATCATTGCCCTAATGATGACCCACATGGATGGGTTGAAACAATAAAAAATCAATAGACAATTTTTTTAACGGCACATCCTAACCATTTTTCATTTACAATTTATAATTTCAACAATCAACTATACATCCATCTCGGAAATACAAAA